TGTTTTCTTTTTGAATATATTTCAAAATGTGATTGATTGCTGTGATCAAAGATGATTTATCAGCATAATTACTTCAGTCTTTAGTGTCACATGATCCTTCAGGAATATTAATAATGGTTCTTGTTAATATTAATGTTGAAAACATGATTTTTGTGGAGAGCATGATACATTCAAAACAACAGCATTTGTTTGAAATAGAACTCTTTTATAACATTACAAATGCCTTTACTGTCACTTTTGATCAATTTAGTGTTTTATTATTTTTTGTTTAATCTTACATAAGACTTTTAAATGATAGTGTATCGCAGTTTCCACAAAACAAATATTAAGCATCAAAAACGTTTTTTCAAAAACTATTTTTTCATGCACTTCATCAAATGCAGCCTTGGTGAGCATAACAGACTTCTTTTAAAAACATTTTTTTTTTAAATCTAAATTTTTCTAAACTTTTGACTTGGTGTACAGTGTATGCTAGTGAACTCCTAAAATGTTTTAGTAGATGTACATCTTTTTTTTCTTACATTTACATTCACATTTAAGCATTTAGCAGATGCTTTTATCCAATCTTCTGAAAGCATGGACCAAAAGTACTGTTCAGTTTCTTGTGCCACACACAGTGTGTCTCTTTAGAATTTCCATGGTTCAGTTTTAACATAAACTAAAAGTTATAATAAATAGTGACAAGTGGAAATAATACATTTCAGAGGAAAAAAATGGCTTGAAATTTCCATTTCGTTGGCTCTTTAAAGATTTGATCATTTATGCCTCAAAGCTAAAAATAAGATGTCATCTGTTCTTTATTGCTAATTAGCATTTAAACAAATAATTTCTGTTTTAGAAGTAATTTAATTTACAACAATTGTTCTGTGTCGGAGAGTAATTACTATCTTTTTCCAACAATAAATGTACACTCTAATGGCAATTCTGAACGATTTTACGTTTTGTGAATTGGTGGCAAATTCGTATGATATTTGTACGATCTGCCGACGTCCCACTGAAGGTTATAGGTTTAGTGGTGGATCATGTTTTTTTCCTCAAAATCATACGTCTTTGTACCAATCGAATCTTATAAATCATTCGCTGTTTTTATGGATGTAAGGTGTTGGGATAGTTTGTTTAACAATGATTTAGTGCCATCATCTCACACTACTGTCATGGTTCAATTTACCTAATTACTGTACTTATAAGAGAACAGCTGTTCAATTAGCCCTGTGATTGGCTGGATGACCTGGCAATCAACCAACCAGAAAGGGTTTGACTGCTTTCTATAATGGAGCCACCAATTCACTGATATGTGCCACTGTTGTGTTCATATGTGACAATGTCAAAACATGCCAGAAACAGAAACGCCATAAAACCACCACAAACACGCTGTATGATTTCTCTGAAGTTATGTGATTATAGCTTTGTGTGAGGAACAGGACCTAATTTAAGTTCTTCACTGAAACTCTCCTCCACTGCAGCTCGAACACGTTTCACAGCAGGTTTGCTGTTGATGCTGAACCTCACTCGATAACTCATGCTGTAACCAGGGAGTTTTGAGAGCTACAGCGTGTCATTTGTTCAATTATACGTTACAGTGTTGAGTGTTCTGGCAATAAACATTTTGCTTGGCAATGATCCACTGAGAAGCAACAAACCTGTAGCTATTGCAAACCCCACCTCACTATAGAGACTTTCTGGATGCGCCTCTGCTCAAAAACAGAAGAACTGTATAAGGATAATATAAAATAAATAATATAGTTTACAAAATGATGCTTTTTGCCTGTTTTTGGAGCTTGGCTGGTATTGAATTTGAATTTACTTGTTGATAGCCGTTCACAGAGTTGGGTAGATGAAGAAAACTGTAGTTAGTAACGTAATCTTGGTTTAGGTATGTATTCTGACTACTTTTTAGATTACTTTACATTACCTTTTGGTTGCACTTTATTTTACAGTACATGTACTTACAATGTACTTACTAAAGAAAGTACTGGTAATATAAGGTAACTACATGGGGTAGGGTTAGTACCTAGTTATTGGCTACGTTCACACCATCCATTTTTGGGATTGATAACCGCATTTTCTTTACAGGTGTGCGTCTCGAAATGTCCCGTTCACACAGCAGCTTACAGTTGTGTTTAGAATACTGTCTGTATGAACGTGCAACGGGAGTCAAGCCGTATTCCTTACCAGTAACCATATCAGTCACCAAAGTAAAATCAAAGATGACGACGTCCACAAAACTGAAAGTCATATCACTTTCTGACACGACAAGAATCCAATCGAGCCGCGAGTTCATCCGTCAAATCTTCATTAACCAACAGCAGCTTTTAATTTGGGTGGAGAGCGGAGTATTTGGCTGTGTCCGAAATCGGCCCCTATACCCTTAAATAGGGCACTACTTGAGGGAACAGCCATTTTTAGTGGTGTTCGAAACCATAGTGGATGTTCTCCAGTGCACTCATTCAATCCCACAATGCACTGCAAAAACGAGTGTACAACTGGTGCACGCTCAACGGCTAGAGAATGCCCATAATGCACCGTGAGAGTCACGCGCCAAATTAATTCCCGCATCTCGCCAGAAGATGGCGCCCGTAGCTGAATAATCAATCCGTTCATTTTTACAAAGCGCTCATCCATGGCGTACAGCATAATGTACAACACGGGTATAAGTTCATTGTAAATTGATTATTAAATTGTTTGATTAGGGTTTATACATAATTTCCATGACAGAGTTCAAGATAAATCCTTTAATCTTACTACTGGAGCTGCTAGTTTGCTAGTTTCAAATGGTTAATAAACAGCAAGCACAAACTATGCAAAAGCGGCATTCCTTCCGGTGCACTCAGTGTCCGAATTCACTACTCGTTTTCACTCCTTCTAGTGAACTGAATTAGTGACCTAATGTAGGAAATAGTGAATGAGGGTATAGGGGGCGATTTCGGACACAGCCTTTGAGTCGTGCACAGAACACGGAACTGACGGGAGCGGCTCCGGTGGAAAACTGATGGGATCTAAAAATTTCAGGTGACAGACACAGCTCATTTCTCTGTCATCACTGTAAGTTACAGAAAACACACATGAAAACACGTAACATACGTTAGACACGCGTCTGCCTCTCGCACTGTATGAAGTGACAGACAACTAGGTTAGACACGCGTTTGTGCGGCAGAGCGGCTCCCTCTCGCACTGTATGACGTGACAGACAACTAGTTGTCCAGTCCTGTTCCGTTCACACAGCGCGTGTGTTCCAAGAATGCGGTTGTGAGTCCTGAACATTTACAGGTGTGAGTTCGGTTACAGAATGCGGTTGTCACACCCGTAAATAACTGAACTCTGTGTGAACGTAACCGTATTAAGGACTCAAATACAGGACTGACAACCGTATTCTGCTGCTGTGTGAACGTGGCCATTGTAATTACTACAATAAGTACATGGTATGTACATGAGGAACAGGACTGTAAAATGACCATATAATTACCATTAAACGTACCATATTGATATAAAAAAGCAAAGAGAAAGAAAAGATATTCTATTTTTTTATATAGAAAAATATTTTTTATCTCTGGAATTTTGATTCAATTCATTAAAAGCTAACAAGTCCCACTTTCTCACCATTGTACAACAAAAACCATAAAAAAATGCTTAAAGGGATAGTTCACCCAAAAATTAAAATTCTGTCATTAATTACTCACCCTCATGTCGTTCCAAACCCGTTAGACCTTCGTTCATCTTCAGAACACAAATTAAGATATTTTTGATGGAATCTGAGAGCTCTCTGACCCTCCATAGACAGCAATGTAATTACCACGATCAAGGTCCAGAAACGTAGCAAGGAGATCGGTAAAATAATCCATGTGACTCATCAGGGGTTCAACCATAATTTCACGAAGCTACGAGAATATTTTTTGTATGCAAAGAAAACAAAAATAACGACTTTATTCAACAATTCGTCTCACTTCTATCCACTGAACGCAAACAGCGTATGCCATTCTGTGTCAGCTGCGTCACGCGGCTATGTTTTCTACGTTGTTTACGCTTTGATTTGAACGAAAACAACGTATCCGCGTGGCACAGCTGACACAGAATAGCATACGCTGTTTGCGTTCAGTGGATAGAAGTGAGACGAATTGTTGAATAAAGTCGTTATTTTTGTTTTCTTTGCGTACAAAAATATTCTCGTAGCTTCGTGAAATTATGGTTGAACCCCTGATGGGTCACATGGATTATTTTACCGATCTCCTTGCTACGTTTCTGGACCTTGATCGTGGTAATTAAATTTTGCACGAACTGAATAAATTAACTTTTCTTTGAAAAATTAACAACAGTGTATTTATAAACCTCCAAATCAAGTATTTTTGCAATTACTTTCCAAAACATAAGCTCTGAAACTGTTACAGACTTTGAAATGCACAATCCCGCGATCTACCATCATTTACAATATATAACTCACGGGGGAAAGGAAGATCCGTTTTATTTTCAGTGAAGGACACACAGGATCCATTCACAAACATTCATAACACATCTTTCATTATGTGTGCTAACGGTGTGGATCTCAACTCTGATCCTGCGAACCCAAGCACTGCACTTTCACCTCCTTTATTTACACATTTTCAGACTCTAATATCACTAGCAGAGCACTGCATGAACTGAAGTGCTGCGGGTCTCCAGGTCCGGAGTTAAAAACCACTGTGCTAAAACATCACCAACATTAGTGCCAGTTATACCCTGATGTCAGAAAGTACAAAAAGACCACAGACAGTCTCAATTCTCATTACGGGAGTGTCTTAAATATCACATGAACTGTGAGTCTTCACCTTCAGATCGGAGATTCACAAAGTGGATAATCTGGCTACAACATGACATTTTGGCACTGAAACAAAGGGAAACTGAAAAATAAGTGCCCGATCTAAACTTCCACACTCAAAAACGAAAGCAAATACTGAATGTGTTCCAACGAAACTTCACAAATTGTTGCTTCTCGCACATAAAAAAAAAAGGAATACTGAACTTGCTTGTACAAATACGTGACAAGTCAGGCTTGAAGAGCTGAGCTTGGCTGTGCAGGAAGAGAGTAATGAAAAAACGAGACAGCTGGAAGGGCAAACACAAACTCCACCTGGGGCGACACAATCCCCGTCCCTGTCTGATTCGGTCCGTCAGTCTCTGAGGGTGGTTTGTGTGAGTGTGTCGTGTCTCATTTAGCTTTGCCGGCGCCCTGCGTCTCTTCCTCCACCACTACAACGGGCAAATTGTGGAACTGACCATTGGCATCCAGCTGTATCTCTTCCTCCGTCTCACCCTGCACCACCTCCTCGCCTCCTTCCACCACAGTCGCTCCACCCTCGGCTTCCTCACCCTCGAGCTGCAGCTCCATGACGCTCACGCTGTGGTCGGCGGCGGCCGGGTCTATCTCGATCAGGGTGGTGTTGTCTTGGTTCTCGTCCTCTTGCACAACACTGACGACGCTCTCTTGCATCATTACCGTACCTGCCACCACCTGACCGTCCTGGGCTACGTCGGAGGTCGTCTTCTGCGTGAACTGGACGAGCTCGACGGGGCTCACAAGCTGCCCGTGGTCCGGCACGGCTGTGGCGCCCAGCAGCGTGAGCCCAGACGCCGGATGGAGCGCGATGGCATCAGTTTTTCCATCCGAACCCGCGGCGATTCTGGTGAAGAGCTGCGAGCCGGCCGGGAGGGCGTGTAAGGTTACCGTGTTGGAGGCTTGGTTGAGGCCGGCCACTGCGAACGACTGGCCGATGGAGGAGAGGGTGATGGGGGAGAGCACGGTGAACTGCTGGGGCTGGAGGGTGAGCGGCTGGGCGACGGATGTGCCGAGCACGGTGGTGGAGGCGGGCCGCTGGAGGCGGGGGCGTTTGGGAGTGCGTTTGGATGGAGGCGTGGAGGGGAGAACCAGACTGCTGAGGGCCTGGGATTGAGACAACCAGCTGAGTGTCTGCTGCCGCTTCTGCTCCTCCACCTGCTGTTCCAATGCTAAACATACACACAAGAGATGGCACTGTTTTCAGAAAATTGAAACCTTTAATAGTGAGATCTGGTCAGTCTCATAGATTATTAACTTTGAATTTGCATCATTAATCTCTTAATCTGCCGCTTATTAATAGTTAGTAAGGTAGTTGTTAAAGAGATAGTTCACTCAAAAATGAAAATTCTGTCATTAATTACTCACCCTCATGTCGTTCCAAACCTATAAGACCTTTGTTCATCTTCAGAACACAAATTAAGATGTTTTTGATGGATTCTGAGAGGTCTCTGACCCTCCCATAGACATCAAGGATATTACCACGATCAATGCACAGAAACATAGGAAGGACATACACATTACGTTCTGGGGTACTCTCCAAAATGGTGGAAGACGGAAACGGAAATTCAAGAATTGTTGAATAAATTATGTTATTATTGTTTTCTTTGCACACAAAAAGTATTCTCGTAGCTTTGTAAAATTACGGTTGAACCAGTGATGTCACATGGAGTATTTTACCGATCTCCTTGCTATGTTTCTGTGTGTTGATCGTGGTAATATCCTTGCTGTCTATGGGAGGGTCAGAGAGCTCTCAGATTCCATCAAAAATATCTTAATTTGTGTTCCGAAGATGAACGAAGGTCTAACGGGTTTGGAACGTCATGAGGGTGAGTAATTAATGACAGAATTTTCATTTTTGGGTGAACTAACCCTTTAAGTTTAGGTATGGGTTTTGATTAAAGGCCCGTTCACACCATGAATGATAACTATAAAGATAACTATATTATCATCCACACCAGCAGATGATATCGTCTGTTTATTCTCAGCGCATGCTCGTCTACCTCTTTAAATTCTCGGGCTCGTGACTGCAGTATTGATTCTGATTGGCTGTCAATATTTTTATCGTTCATCAGCTGGAAAAAATCGTTCTGAAAGTGATTCCAACTATATAGTTTCTCTACGCCTTTATCGTTATAGTTGTGGTGTGGACTCTGCTATTCTTTAATATTGAGAACAATTTTTACAACTATATCTTTATCGTTATCTTTATAGTTATCATTGCTGGTGTGAATGGCCTTTAGAGATCTAGAGTATGGTCATGCAGACTAAAGGCCCTTTCTCACCAAGAACAATAACTATAAAGATAACGATAAAGATATAGTTCTAAAAATCATTCTCAATATTAAAGGCAGAGTAGGTTGAAAGTCTCTTTTGCATTATTAAACTCCTGATTTGCTGCTTATTAATAGTTATTATAAAACGGTTAGTTCCAGTCCTCAATTCTGATTGGTCAGCAGCTGTATTTTATTCAAAATAAAGCACAGCTATGACCGCTTCACCCAGCGGTTCTGTGTATCACTGCGCAACAACCTTAGCAACATAAACAATCAATAATATAGCATTAAAACTGTGTCATGTATTATGTATTTCTGCAAAATTAACTGTTTGTTACTTATTTAATGAGGTATGAGTGACCACTGCTGGTGTTATGTTGCATCTTTCATCTTTAATTTTGAGACCACGCCCTTCTGCTTCGCGTCGTGCCCAAGCGGCAACCTCCCGCTCTCTCTCGTGAAGTCAACACGGAAGTGACTTAAACTGCAATTCATCGACTGGCCGCTAGAGGCTGGCTGCAAAAGGGAGTCAATCCCATAGACCCCCCATGTTAAAATGCCCAACTTTACAGCAGAAAAAAAACATGTTTACAGCCTGGTTCAAAAAATGATTTTGGTCTATATAGCTAATTTTGCCCTTCATACAAACTGTGAGGGGGGTGAATTTTTTTTATAACTCATCCGTTTAAATTATATTAAGCCTTAAAGTTCTGCATAATTAAGGGCGTGGCCACTTGAGTGACAGGTGGATTGCCGCTGCTGTCACCACCGTCGAGCTAGGTGGGTGTGGCTTCAGCAGCCAGCTTCAAAAATGCTCTTCGAAACCTACGGGTGACGTCACGGACACTACGTCCATGTTTTTATACAGTCTATGGTCGTGCCTAACAACGCCCTTCATTTGTGATTTATTCACAATACAGCACAGCCTCGAGTAACTTTTTTTAACTTATGTTTACATAAGGTAGTTGTTAAGTTTAGGTATGGGGTTTGATTTAGGGATCTAGAGTATGGTCATGCAGACTAAAGGCTCGTTCTCACCAAAAACGATAACTATAAAGATAACGATAAAGACATAGTTCTAAAAAATCGTTCTCAATAAAGGCAGGGTATGGTGATTTGGTTCAAAAACATTTTTTGTTATGCTGGTAAAAGTCTCTTCACATCTCGATAGCAATCACTAAGTTAAGTGGTCTACATGTATTTATATTGTCTGTGGAAGGCGTAGGACCATAAAATGTTCGTCCTATCAAAATATTCGGTCCGAACATTAGGATAGGCTGTCCTGCCTGCCTGCCTGTCAAATATGTATTTGCATACCTCTGCGCACCCTGTTTGCGCAGACATGATACATGATATATTTTCTCACCGGTGAATGAGACATGAGGTAATCTGACAGCGTTGCATTCAATCCTTCACCAACGCCATCTCTCATCGTGTCGCTGGTTAGCCTCTGGTCATGTGTTTTGGGGGAGGCGGGGCTTTACAAAGTGAAGGGAGGGAGGGGATCTTGCTTTCAAAGCTAGCTTGCTATTGCTAGCCTTTCCGAAATCGCCTACCCTACCTTTTAAGAATAGCAGGGTCCACACCACAGCTATAACGATAAAGGCACAGAGAAACGATATCGTTGGAATCACTTTCAGGACAATTTTTTCCAGCTGATGAACGATAAATCATTGACAGCCACTCAGAATCAATACTGCTATAAAGAGCTTGAGAATGTAAAGCGGTAGATGAGCGAGAATAAACAGACGATATCATCCGCTGGTGTGGACACTAATATAGTTATCTTTATAGTTATCATTCTTGCTGTGAACGGGCCTTAATATTAATATGTGCTTTATAAGTACTAATAAACTGCCAACATTCTAGAAATATACATGCTAATAAGCAACTAGTTAATAGTGAGAATTGGTCCTTAAAATAAAGTGTTACTCTGTGACTTTACCACGGTAATGAGTGCCCTTATAAGCACAATGCTTATGTCAAAACCCCCCTCAAAGATGGCATGAAATGGAAATTGCGATTGTGTTTTCTTCCCAACTGTGACGTATGTGTGAGTGAAACGACTTCTCGAATGAGAAAGAAAAGAGGGCAGGACTTTATTTTGTTTATTGGGAATTGATTGGACCAGTCACTAATTGTTGTGAAGCAACAGGTTGCTGGAGGGGAGGGATAATTGTTCAGCCCTAGAGCCGGTGTAAACGTCATCAGAGAAGGAACCCAGGCTCATTGAAAAAACATCCTCTACAGCCTCTACATTTTTGCAAAACCCTAAAAAAACATACCTATACATACAGTGCACTTCAGTTTCCAGCTGTAATGAACTAGCGGCAGTAAAACACCAACTTTTATTCCTTATCTCACAAATTATGATCAAAGGGGCAAAATATTGGTTAAGAAAGACTTATTTTAACAAGGTTTCTTGCATTTGTTGTTATGACACTTTATTATAGTGTATAATTTGTAAATGAATACATTTTGACATCACAGAGCCAGTTATGTATGGCTTTTCTCATTCACTTGAGGGATCCAAGAACTCTTAGTAGCTTTAAGACAGCAACCATACATTTGTGTTGTGTTTTACTTTCTTTTATATTAATTAATTAATTAATTCATATTCATATTAAACCATTTATATACTCATTTCACTGATTCATTCATTAATTAGTCATTTATATTATATTATTGGGATTCTCAACTCTGGCCCTCGAGATCCCACTTTCCTGCAGAGTTTATCTCCAACCCTAATCAAACATACCTGAACAAGCTAAACAAGGTCTTCAGGTTTACTCAAAAGTTACTAGCAGGCGAGTTTGATCAAGGTTGGAGCTGAACTCTGCTTTCAGATAATATTTCTGATCTAACACACTAAACTTGATCAGCAGCTCAGCTGGAACAGCACTGCACTTGTAATATTGAGCACTCGGGAACAAATCCAGTCAAAACACGAGTCACGACACTCAATAAAAAAGCTCAGACTGGTAGAATCAAGCTAAAGGGCATGGTTTCTTTAGCAAACACATTTTCATCCCATGTTTGCTTTTGTCAACACTACTTGTTAGATTTAGAATAGGGTTTGGTGTAGGTGGTACGTTATTGAGCATTAAATTTTCATTTCCAAACAACTGCCACGATATAAACAACAACCATGGAAAAAAAACAAAAAACCTTGCCACATTCACTTTCACCTATGTGGGATAAAACTGAACTTTGAAAGTGGCGCAAAGCGTGCAAGAAGCAACGTAATGTAATTTTGCAGAAATATCACCACAGGCATGTTTTTCCAACGAGTCTAAAGCCCTATTCGGACGGGACTAGTTTTCTAAACTACGTTTGAGTTTTGATTCCTATCACCCAACGTCTGATTTATGTACCGATTCAGATAGGACTAACATCTCTGTGTTCATTACAGAGATGGGAGGGTCTGTTTTGTACATCTAGGCGTTGCAGAGATCACACTCTCTGTATGTGTACATTGCGTATCATCATGTGGACTGTTTGCCATTAGTATAACCACAGGTTTACTACAAACGCAATGGTTAAGCTATGGCTAGTATAACAAAACCATGGTTAATTTGTGGTTACTTTAGCTTAACTATTTTATTTTTTATTTATTTGTAGTAAAACCACGTTAAATTTTCGTAAAGGTACATATATAATTAAAACATTATGTAATTGAGTGAAGGTGAGTAATCTTATCTGACGCTGATATTACAATAGCCAGTCTTAACAGTTTACATGATCTGGCTTTTCATTTCATTATTTTATTTCTTTGCCGGAAGGCAAACATATAAAAAATGTGTGCAGTAGTAAGAGCATCTACAGTAGTTCACGTTGGCCAAAACACACAAGGAAACGCGCTGTGAAAAAACTAAATAGCGTTAACAATCACAGATATTTGCATTTGGACGGGATTCGTTTTCTCAGAGGATCACTGAGTTTGCAGAAAAACAGTAGGTAATTTGCTCTGGAGTTATTACTGAGGTTGTGTGAGAAAAACACAGACGTGGCAGATTCGGACGGGATTAATCTCAACCAATCAGGAAGACGTTTCTGCAGCCTACTTTAAAAGTTCAAGTCTGAAATAGGGATGCATCCATCCGATATTCAGTATCGGTATCGGCTCCGATACTGGCATTTTCTGCCAGATCGGGTATCGGTCAGACGAGACCGATCCAAATCTTATATTGTGCATATCCTATTCTGTGTTATTGTTAAGCCCCACGGAAGGCACAAAACAGAATAAAGTTTTGGTGCACTATATTTCAAGTGTTCTGAAGCTGTTCCATAGTTTAATGTGAGGTACAGATGAATATTTGAGTCATTACATTCAAGATCATGTTAACTCTTCTCTCCGCTGCGGCTGTCTGTCTTTCTCCATTCAGCATTCAAACTGCGTGTCACGTTTGGTTTACGACAGTCAAAACGAGCGCAAGAGCGCACAATAACTGAGATTTAAAACTGTTAAAAGAAAAGGCTCAATAAACTATTGCACAGATATAATACACTAAGCATCAGTATCTCTTCTCTTTGTACTTTGAACTCTTCAATGCGGAGCGCTGTGACTCCGTGTTGCTTCAAGCGCATCTGTATTGGAGCCATACCCTCTCGTATTGCAATACTTTTGCGCAATGAAAGATTATTAATAGTCTTTCTTGTTCTGTCCTATCTATCATATGTTGCTGCCTTCATTACTGTGCTACACATTTAAAGTAATGTCTTTTAATTTTATAATATATATTTTATATATAAATATATTTACTTGTGTGTTCACAAATGTATTTTACAACAATACAAAGAGCAATGTGTAAGATTTTACCAGATTTATTACCACACTTTTTAACTTTTATTTGTTCCCCACCAAATAATGTTGTTTCACTACATGTTTCGATTTTATAAAATTATTGTGCACTCATGATTTTTCATGAGTAGGCTATCTTCCGCTGCTGAATCACCACTAACCTAGTTTATAATACTGTGCTGGTATCAGATTGGAATGGATTGTATCGGATCGGTTCTGAAAAAATGGTATCGTACTGTCTCTTCACTCACCTGTCAGTGCTCTGAGGACCTGCGTCTGCTCTGGGTCCGTCATTTGCCGTCGAACATTCAGAATTTGTTTAATGGAGTCCAGCAGGTCAAAGACTTGTGCCAGGTTACTCAGAACCGCAATCTCTGCAAGATTCACAGATCACATGATCACATCTCACGCGCACACACACACACTAAACACCAACTCAACATTAAAGGTCCCATATTGTCAAAACTGAAATTTCCTGGCTTTTTTCACGATAACTGAGGTCTAGGGGCTATTTAACTACCATATAAGTTTCAAAACAGTCAGTCCACACTAAAATTCACACAGCCTGCATAAAGTAGCTGTGATTTTTCACGAACCGTTGTGACTTCTGTAAAAAGTTGACGTCAGAACTACACAGTCACCGCCTTCAGTCACCACCCCGAGCACCGCCCACAGTCCCACTCTCCTTTTGCCAAACCCCCAGACAACATCGCGTCCATGCCATTGCTGAGCAACAACAACAACACGGAAACATGTGGAAAAGGTTAACTTTAACCACGAAACCAGATCGGCCGACCAGTAACATTACACTCTCACTCAAAGGATGGAGGATCTGACAGGATTGTTACTATGAGGTGGATCTCATCTAACGTGTGTAGTAAAGACAAACTCACCGTGTCTATCTAGTCATGATGAAGATGTATATACATTTCAATTTCAGCAGGAAACTATTTTTACAGCTACATTATTGTTCCAGCCACAATTATCCAGCTAGCGCTGTGACGTCGGCTGACCCCAGTTACCTGTGGTTGGCCTGGACGTGCGTCACTCAGAAAACAACAGGCCAATCAGAATGGCTCATGAATATTAATTAGACAGGCCAAAATAGACCTGTTCTCAGCAGAGCTCCTGAGAGAGGAGCTGTAAAAATATATTGAGATGGTTTTTGGTACTTATACCACAAATATATATTCTTAAGGACATCAAAACCTAAAATAAAACAGGACAACTTTGATTAACTTTTTTAATCCACTTCAAATGTTGACTACTGTATATATTTTGTATATCATTTACAAAAAGTCTTGACGGTCCTATTCATATTAAATTAACTGCTGAATAAAGTGCTTGTTTTTCATTTACTGAACCGACAGCTTGCCTGCTAATTCATTTTGGATTTATTTATTATTTTTGGAGTTTTCTGTGAAAACTCACTGACAGTTTTGCAGCAGGTAGGATTCAGTTTATGGGTCTTTGATCATTGTTGTGGTAATTCTGACAGTAATGCAATGATGTCTTAGCTATAATGTGATTGGTTCGCAAGGTTTTCTGTAACAAACGTGTTCTTTTAATGAAGCCTCTTAAGGTTCTGAAAAAAGTTAAAGGTATATCTGTTGCAAAATACTATGAATCTCTATTTGGCATCTTGTGAATCTGTAACTGGCATCTGGTTCAGATGTTTTTGATTAGGGCTGACAAACCTGTCACAGATGAAGCACTGACCTGCGTCCTGTAGAGAGCTCTGATCCGTGCGCAGCTGAACTCCTCTCAGCAGACTCAGCAGCTCTGAGTGGATATTGGACACCACCTCCCCCATCAGCCCCACCTCAGCGATGCCCCTCCAGAAACTCAGCGTCTCATCTGGGGTCACACACACAGTACAGCTCTCATCACATCTGTGGATGCCATCTTCAGTAACGCATGAGAGTCCTGAGTGAGGTCTGAATGTTTACCTGAGATATCAGGTGAGTCTCCTTTCTCTGGGCTTTCTACCGTAGCTGTGCTCCACTCCACCGTACCGATCACGTCTTCTTTCTTCTCCTCTGCTGTGGCCGTCTGACCTCCGTTACCCACAGAAACATGCCCTGCAGGACACACATACAGACACTATGTATTAGGGTCATTACATCATTTAGGGTACCATTGATTATTATATAACAACTTTTCTAAGATATTTTATACATCGAGAGAATACATACTATAATTGCACACATATTATGTGCACCCTGTTTTTCAGTCTGTCCCTTAACTCAGTTTATTTTTATTTTTTTGCAAAGTCTGCTTTTTTAATTAATGAGTCTTGAGTTCAAAATAATGAATAAAAAATGCTGAACATTATATTGTAAAAATAAATGATATATTCAATTTATTTCTACAATCTAAACACCTTAGAAAAATTTATTTTTACACACATCCATAAAACAAATTCTGTCAACTATGTTACAAACCAAACATCCCCCTGAAAACTAAAAATGGTTTATCATAAAACTATATTTTCTTCTGCAGCTGACATTTTGAACACATTATGTTAAATGTTCTTTTTGTTTTATATATATATTTCATCTCCAATGTGACCTATTGTTAAGGAATATATGAATTGCCTGTCAACAATGTTGGGGACATTGTTATGGTTTTGCAATATCTGTATAATTTTAATTCAAATAAATATTAAAATCAGAGGTTAATCTGGTCAAGAAATTAACATTCGGTTGGCCAGACAAGGCCTGCCACTGAAATTATGAGTCAAAATGGCCAAATTGTCAACAAGTTACCTGTCAATCTATACAGTTTGTCTGTAACACAGTAAAACTCACCAACAGGGAAAGCATATTTGTATTTGTAATATCAAAATGGTATTTAATGATTAAGCTTGGTGACTAGCAGATAAGTTACACTGATAAAATATATCAAGTAGTGCTGTCAAACGATTAATCGTGATTAATCGCATTCAAAATAAAAGTTTTTGTTTACATAATATATGTGTGTGTACTGTGTATATTTATTATGTATATATAAATACACATGCATACACCTATATATTTTGAAAAAAATTACATATATTTTCATTCATATAATTTATATTATATATAAATATATTTCATATAGAAACGTAACATATTTTTCTTAAATATATGCTGTATGTGTGTGTATTTATATATACATAATAAATATGCACAGTACACACACATATATTATGTAAACAAAACTTTTATTTCGGATGCGATTAATCGTTTGAGAGCACTAATATCACGTGAAACCAATAGCTGTTTTATTGAGAAAGCATTTTTCCAAATGTACCCTAAATTATTGGTAAATCTAAATGTAAAACAATTCAAATGAATTTTTTACTGAAAGTTGTGTGGAAAACATACATAGATTATTTTTACCTACATTTTTATTTATTCATTTAAATATTTTGAATTTAACTGGCAATAACCGTCATTTGGTCAAAGTTGTGTCATTAGTCGGGTTTCTATCCAAAGTTGCGCAAAATTGAAATATCGCATAAAACATTTGCGAACAAGCACCGTTTCCATCCAATGAGTCAAAGAGAACAAAATCGTCTGGCACAAATACAAAATAAACTGGCACTATAAATCACTAAGAAAAATAGGAGATGCCGCTGAATATTATAATTTTCCTATATAATAATTTACTTGCGCTTTAGAGCGAGCAGACGAAACAAAATAAATTGGGTCACTGCTTTCAGAGGCGGATGCTGCTGTTTGGGAACGCAGTCGTATAAGACAGTTCTGGGAGACAATTAGGCTATACATCAATATTTTGACAACAGAATGTTCAGGCATTTCAGAATGAACATAACATTTCAGATGCTGTGGAACGAGATCTGTCTGCTGGTTAATCAGGTTTTACCGTCCCATAGCACAAAGTCACATTACTTTTTTTAATGCGCATGTAGGAATTTATTCAGCAAATGCGTTTCCATCTCCCATTATTCATATTAACCCTTAAGTCAAAAACAAGCTCAAGCAAGTGTAAACATTTTTAGTAAAAAATTTGGTGTTTCCATCACTTGTTTTCAATGTTTTAGTATACTAAACTGGTATACTTAAAGTCTGCTAAACTGGAACAACTAATTTTGTACTTAATGCACTGTAATTGTACAGAAGTAGTGCTGAAGTACAATTAAAGATATTTGATTGTGCTATAGTGAAACTATTGCAAGCATACTTCAGGTAAACTTAAATTTTTTGTTCAATTTAAAATCTGATATTATTCAATGATCATGCAATCCTCATCAAAAGTGACATTAAAACACATTTTAGTCTTAATATTAATAAAAGTGCATTGTGCACCAAGTAAAGTTTAATAAAGAAATTTATATTCGTAAGTCTTGAGTTATCTGTCAGTAAATATGTTAATAAATTTGAACTATACTTAGTATGAAATAAATGTATTTTAAATATATTACTAAGGTAAAAAGCCCTAACTATGTCAGTGTGTGTGGTGTGTGTGTGTGTGTGAGTGAGTGAGTGAGTGTTTGTGTGTGTGTTTGCGCAAACGTGCGTGCGTCGCATGAGTGTGAGGGAGTGAGTGTGTGTGAGTGAGTGATTGAGTGTGTGAGTGAGTGATTGAGTGTGTGAGTGAGTGAGTGAGTGAGTGAGTGTGT